AAAAGGAGGCTAGATAGATACCTTGCCAGGGTCGTTTGACCCCAGCATCCTTTCCTGCCCAGGGCAGGGGGTTGGACTTGATGATCTACTCAGGTCCCTTCCGACCCTACCAACTATGAAACTATTTATCAGTGGTTGATAGTAGAAAGCTCCAAAATCTAAGTTGGCAGTTCATGTTTTACACAGAGGTTTTTTCTTAGCTGAAAGTGTCTTTCTTACTCCTTTTTTCTCTCACATTCTTTTGTATATTTTCTTTTCCCCTGCCTTCTCCCCCCCCCCCCCCGTTTTCTTCAATGGCTATACTTCTGCCTGCTTCTAAATATTTCCTAACTTCAATTTAAAAAAAATGTTTGTTTTTTTTTATCTCGCATTGTGTTGGCTACACTAAGTAATAAGATAAGGGCAGCACACAATCATCTGTGTACTGGAGTGACTGGTGATATCTTAATGCTTCCTCCAGTATCAAACCTTAAAAGAAAAAGACTGAAAAAATAAATCTGCTGCAAAGGGGCTTACAGAGTGAATGATTTTAAAAGGATAAGACAGCACTCATTTTAAGATTCTGATGAATGTCCATTGTGTGTATATGAGTCCTGTGTCAGTAAAAAAAAATGATGATGTAGTTGTGTAAAACTTTTAATTTTGGGGAAATCAATATTTTTTATGTTGACCTGACAGTCTTTTACCAGCCCTTTCCTAGCATGCCAACAGAAAGCTATATGTACTGCATACTATTGTATATAGACATACTATGAGACTCCCTCTTCCAGACAGCCATTCCCCATATCATAGAGCTCTAACAGAGTCATAGTTTCATAGTTGTTAGGGGCTCAAAGGGACCTTACAGATCATCGGGTCCAGCCCCCTTGCACTTGGGCAGGAAAGAGTGTTGGGATCAGATGATCCCAGCAAAATCCACCAACATCTAAAGGCAAGATAATGTGTGTAGGTTCTGTTTCAGGCAGCATTTAATGGCCACTAATTTTGGGACCACCGCATGATGGGGTAAACAAAAATTAGAATATTAATAAATGGATAGACAAATTGTTATGACAACTGCAGTATGATGAAACTTTTAAAATACTATTTTGAATGTCTTTCTCTTGTGTCAGTGTCCATTCCACTTACCCAGAATATGGTTTAATTGTAGAATGAAAAAAATTATTATGCTGTGGGAGAAGAAGCTGAGATTGCCTGCATGACTGGATATGATCTCATTGGGTATCAGTTCCTTAGGTGTCTACCAGATCAAACCTGGATCCAGCAGCCCATTGAGTGCCAACGTAAGAAACTGGAGAACAGTTAGGCTTGGCAACAGGAACAAATATAGGAAATACAAATAGTTCAGGTTTTCCTAACAGAATCTGTTAGAAAGGCTTAAAAAGAAATTAATCCTTGTTTTATAAATGTTGGAAATGACCAAAGTCCTCTTGGGTTGTCAGATTTGTTCTTTTACAGTCTATCAGTTGTTCCAACTCTGGCCGCTGACAGACACTAAATTAAAAGCTCAATAAGATCTGATACATGATCCCAGCAGTTGTGTCTGCTGCCATGCCATACATGCTTGGCAAGAGGTACAGCTGTGGGATCGGGATCAGATCCCAATTGCACCCTATTGTCAGTGCCATGTAGTGGGAAATGACAAGCTTTGCTCCCCTGTGCTCCTGTGGCTGAGAGCCGTAGTCAGCTGATCTGGGCTTCCAGTCATGGGAACAGAGGGGAGCCAAAGGCTCTGTGGGAACTTTTGCACATGCTTTGGGGGTGGGGGGAGCCGCTCTAATTAAAGCACTACCGCATTTCCTGTATCAGCGTCCTGGTACTTAAAAATGGCAGCAGGGGCGCTTGACCTAAAGCTCGTTCAATGAGCTTTATTTCAAGTGCCCCCACCACCGTCTTTAAGTATGGAGACGCTGATACACAAGACATAGGAGACTGCTGGAGTGCAGCAATTGGCACCCTCCACCAGACTTGATTAATCAAGTCTGCTCTGATGCACTGGAATTCCAGCATGTTGGAGCAGTCTTCACACTCATGTATAGGTACCCTATGTGCTCCCATGGCTGGAAGCTCCTATCATCTAACTGGGGCTCCCAGCTGAAGGAGTCTATGGGACTCAAGCTTCCAGCTGAAGGAATGTACAGGAGGTAAGGCAGGCGTAGTCAAAATACAGCCTGTGGGCCGAATCTGGCCTGCCAACTGATTGGTTTCAGCCCACAGACAGGTTCCTGCCAGTTGATTGTATCTGGCCCATGGCTGTCCCTGTGGCACTCCACTTGGGGCTAAGCCTTGATTGCTCCTGCCCAGGGCAGCCTGAGCCATGCTCCTGTCCATGCCCACCCATGGCCCTGGTCTCAGCAAGCGTGCACAGCTTCCCAGCAGGGGTGCTCCCAGTGTGGCTGCAGCCTCCCACATACTGCTTGGCTCCCCCCACCTCCAGCAGCTCCTCCTGCCTCTGCTGCATTACTCCAGGCAGCAGATAGCATGGGGAAGTGATGGCAGCTATAGGGATGTGTGACAGGCACCACATGCCCAGCCAAGTTGAGGGGGAAGTGGCAGCTGGGCAGCTCCTGCCTTAGTGTGCAGGGCCTCCAGCTCCAGCTCCTGGCCACCTTCCACCCTCTCCAGCTGTCCAGTGTGTTGAGTGGAAAACTATACACTACTCAAAAAAATATAAATCAGGTCAAAACTTACTTTCTGATATAAGATTAAAATAAGTTATAGTAGATATTTGCTTTTTAGTATATGATTAGTTTTTAATCTATATATTATTAAAATGATATCTTTTGAAAGATTTTGTGTATGGCCCTCAACTCACCAAAACTCTGTAAGTGGCCTGCCAGCCAAAATAACTGTGCACCTCTGAGCTAAGGTCTCTGATTCACTGTCCTGGCTGGAAGCCCCAATCAGGCGATTGGGACTCCCAGCCTTGGTAGGACACAAGAGTCTTCAAGGGCTCTGGTGTGTTCCTAAGGTTGGGAGCGCTGGCCGTGCATTCATTTTAAGGCATAATGGGAACCAGCCACAAAGGGCATTTTTACACATGCAAGCACCACAGCATTTTGCCACTTAAAGAACTGCACATGACACGGTGCAGCACGTCAGCTCGCATGCGGAGCAAACTCAATTAATCAAGTTTGCTCTGAAGTGGCAGATCTTCAGCACATTGCGGAACCAAAAAGTATAAATGCCCGAAGTTATTACACATGTTTTGTGTGGCCACAGTACTTAAAACATGATTAACCAGTTAACCATGTCTTTAGTGTAACGTCTATCAGGGTCTGTATGATCTATAAGTAACACTATACTGTTAGGTTATGTAGAAAATACTTATCTTATATTTTCTAGAGCCTTTGCCAGTCTAAATTTAAATGTCGTTGACAATAGGCCTTATTTTTCATTTCCAGACTTATCTTAATAAGGCTTACATTTTTAATAATTATATTGAACAGAATTCTCAGGAATGGACAGATACATAAGGCAATATAATGTGAATATTTTTAAAGTGTGTTTGGGGGACAAATCTCCTTTTTTTCCATTAATTTTAACTGTATATGTGTGTCTAAACCATCCATGGTGCTTTATAAACCTCAACCATGAGGTCCTTGTTTAGATGTGATTACAACGTAATCTAATTTAAAAAGAATTGCTCTCTCATTGTTAAATTTAGGATTTCCAATGTTTTGCAAGAACCCAAAGCAACAACCTGGACTTGAATTTTAAGGTTGAACAGAGTGAACATTATGAATTTAAATTAAATATATATGAAATATTTCAACTGCCATTTACTTTAATTTTGACCTTTAATTTCATAGACAATTTGAAAATAAATCTGGCAAGTAGAATTTAATACCTGTAACATGTTGCAAAGAATGTCCTGTCAGGGGTCATTTTAAATTGTCAGTGCCAACATATGTCATATAACATTAGTAGAAAAATAGTATAATTTAATTATAAAATTAATAGAATTTCCATACAAGTCATTGATAGAGAAATATTTTATATATAGAATATTGCCACTTGAGTGAGTTGAAAAACTTTAAAAACTCAAACATGACAAAAATGTGCAACTTCATTTGCTTTATTTTCACAATAGATTTATAACTCACCCATTTATGACATGCTGTAAAGACCACGTTTATTACAACAACACAATATGTATTCAAATCTTATCTTTACTACAGCATTACTCTGCTCTAAGCCATCAGTATCCGATGTTGTTGCAATCTCCCCATTTAAACACGAATACAACATGGGTGAAACCATCCAGCTAAGATGCCCAGCTGGCTTTGTTATCACTGGACAAGCATATTACACTTGTGGGAAAGACCTGTCTTGGATCCCTCCTATTTTGAGAACACTTACCTGTGAAAAAGGTTAGTACCCTGTTAAGCAATTAATACATCCCTGGAAGCAACTAGTAAAAATGTATCTCAAAATGCATTGGAACTATAACTCTCTAACTGAATGTACTACAGTGAGTGTTGGGTGGTACATTTGAAGGCCAAGAAAGACGATCAAATTCATCTGTTATATTAATCTGATTAGACTTCCTGCATGAGAGAGTGCCACAGAATTTCATCCAGTAATCCTGTATTCATAGCATACCTTTGTTTAAAATAAACTCTACCAACTGAACACTGTGAAAGCAAAAGAGGTATAGCATTGAATGTTACCTGCATACTGCTGAAATTTTGGCATGGGTGCTCTTACCAACTTTCCCAGTAGTTTCATATAGTTTGATACACTCTTGTGGAACTCCACACAAGAGGCTTTGGACATGACAAAACAGTTGTCCATCATGAGCCTCTGGTTTAGACTTGAATGGAAGGAATTGGACCACTTCAGTTACTGTTAATCTTTGAAGTTTCTTAGAGAATGAGTAAGATACAAGTTATTGGAAGCTGGCAGTTGGCAATAAAGAACAGGTTTGGCTAGTTTCTTGATTTGTGTCCTTAGAAATTGAGATTCAAGGCTGCAGAATAGTTGGCATCATTAAATATTTTCAATAACATAAGCTGTCATGTTTTGTATGGGTCTGACTTGCCTTCCTCCTGTCCCTCCCTGCAGTAAATTATTTTGTCTCTCTGGTTACAGCCAAACTACTCATTTTGTTACTCAACAACTTTTTTGTCAACCAGTCCAGTTTTTTGCTGTTTTTTTAGCACTTTCCAACAGGGTTTTTTTTACTGACTTATTTCAGGCCATTTTCTTCCCCTCTCTTAAAAAGGAATTGCCTGTTTTTTAAGACAGGAAATGACAGTTTCCCTCACTAAAGAGAGAGGTTCTTTTACAAACAGCTCAGATCACATAGACTTTTTTCTTTATTAAAATAAGGAGCCTTGAACACCTTAATATTCAATGAATATAGCTTTACCCTTAGGTGTCATATGAAATAATACTTAACAGAGGATATTTTTTAAAAAAAGGAAAAAGTAAGATGTCTGATTATTATTTAAGTTATAGTCTTCATAGTTTCTAGGGTCAGAAGGGACCTGAGAAGATCATCTAGTCCGACCCCCTACCATGGCTTGAAAGTTAAGCTTTAGACTGGCTATCATGTTTCTACAAAAGAGGTAAAGAGTGATCTGCTTCATTTTGGAAAATGCCATGTGACAATTTATATTCAAAGAATGGGAGCCATACTATGCATTATCATTTCTTTCCATTCCAATGAAAATGCAGCACTTAATTGTGCATATGTCTCTTGCTGCACAGATGCTGCTGCAAAAGGTCTGGAAGTAAGTTTTTAATTAGCTGGATCCTAAAGGTATCCCTTTACTGGTGAGTTCAGTCTTCATCTTCATATTTTGTGTACTACAGTATTCAGAAGAGCTTGGGAGAGGGATACTACTACTCAGGTTGTGGAGCTCATACAAGGGACCCATCAGTACCAATATACAGTCCACAACTGCAACCTTTCCTGTTTGATATGAGGTTCACCATGGTTATCTAACCCAGGGATGGCTTGAGTATCTTGAGAAGAGTCTTTGAAACAACTCAGTACTTTTCCAAAATGTAAACCAAGCCCGAGGTAAACCTCACATTCACACTTCTCCAAACCTGAGCAGTGTAATCCACTTTCTTTGGGGAGTTACCTCCAAGCCATTTGATAGCACCTTGAATTAGCGCATAAATCTACCCCCACCTCTTTAGTGATGCAGACAAGTGAAAATATGTGACAGCTTCATCCTTTAATCTTGAATTGGCCATCTCAGAAACTGCCTAGGCCCTTTCCTGACAGCTAGGTTCTATTGGAATGCCCTTTGCCATCTGTCTCCAGGGCTGAACTACAACTTATAGCTAGCATGATGGGCTAGTTAAGGGGAAGGCCTTTCATTTCAGAACTTGTTCTATTTTACATTCTATACAAGTAAGAACTTGAGGAGGTTTGTGAGGATTTTTCATTTTAATTTCTGTAATTATCAGAATATTATTGTGATGAACACAATGCAAACATAATAACAAAAAAAATAGCCATAAAGACAAAAAAAAATCAGTTGGTAAGAGCATACAGCAGCAGGATTGGCATCATTTTTCATTTTTGGAAACTCTTTGAAATTCTGTCTTTTATGTAATGCACTTTCTGTTTGTATTTACATTTTTAATGTTGCTTCTAAATATTGAAATTATACCTGACTCCTTGGTAGAATAAGGATTAGACCCATTGCCTGCTGTCATGGGAAACTAGGCTAAAATCAAATAAATACTCTCTAGTTTTGACAGCAGCATTTTAAGATTCTGTTTATATATAATTTATTTATTTTTCAGATGAGCAAACTAAAGCTAGAGGTAATTGTAGCCCAGGACAAAAACAAGTTGGATCTCAATGTGTTTGCATGTCACCCTCAGAGGACTGTGGGTAAGTTATATACTTAACACAGCTATTTGATTAATGGAACAGTAGTTTACTGCGATCGTAAAACAGCACAGAACAATAAGAACAACCTTAGGATAATCATTATTTATACAGACTGAAATATAGCTACTGTGCCTGTAGCATTAGCAATAAGGTCCTCCAGTGGTCAGCATGTTAAAATGTAGTCTTTCCATTCCATGCTCTGGCACCTGGCACTAAAGACTTACTTTCCTTCCTTTCTTCCTTTTTCTTCTAATTTCACCTATTACAGACTTCTAAAAGTCCCACTCTCTAGTAGTCTTATTAACCTGAATTACATGTGTGAAATCTCACCAGTCCTGGTCATACTATTGTTATTATACCTCCATGTATTTGGGATTTCTATCCTTTCATTGAGTAAATATGAACACATTTTTTTCCACCTCAGAAGTAGTCATTTTCATAACCATATTCTCATTTCTGTTTTGTACCCTATGTAGCAGGGCACTGAGGTGCCTGCTACTGGTGGAGCAGCAAGTAAGGAGCCCAGCTGCGGGTTGCCACGGACCCCAGCCCCAGATAAGGGGTGGAGAGTTGGGGCCAGGCAGGGCTATGGCCACCTGAGCCTATCTGAGCACGAGAAGCCCCAGAGAAAGAGGGCAGTGCAAGAGGCCAGGTAAGGCTGAAGCCGCCTGAGCCTTGCTGTGGGTTTGAGACCCCGAGGAGGAGAGTGGGGGCCAGGCACGGCTATGGCCACCTGAGCCTACCTGAGTGCGAGAAGCCCCAGTGTGAGGGGGCAGCGTGAGAAGCCCCAGCCAAAGGGGGCAGTGATTGATGAGCGCCTCTGGGGCATGGTGGGAGATGAGGGGCTGCGGCTAAGACTGAACAACATCCGGTACATCTGGGAGGCTTGGGGCATGGTACAGGGGTGGTTGGAGTCACGCATAGCCCATAAGACTGGTGTGCCTGGAACCCCATTATAGGAGCAACACATGGGGTAGCAGGAGCACAGTGACCAAGAGGATGGAAAGGCAGGCTCCCTTTTAATGCACATACACACACACACACACATACACACATATATATAGTCTTTCCATCCTCTTGGTCACGGTGCTCCTGCTACCCCACGTGTTGCTCCTATAATGGGGTTCCAGGCACACCAGTCTTATATTCAGCTAAGCCTTTGGCCATTCCACTTTTTATCCCATCCTTGATGACTTGCTTAGTCTAGCTGGCATGTAAAACTAAAACTTTACACAACAGGTATTTGGTTACAAAAGATATTTACTCACTGCACCCATAATAAATGACTCTGAGCTTCACTGGTTTGGGTTTGGAATGAGCTACTTGTCCTCCCGTCCATATATAAATAAGATGATATACCATGGGCTTGTAAAGCCATCTGTAGGAAAAGATGAATGGGAATAAGGAGCCTCTAGAAAACATGAAACAGGAATTATAAATCAGAGGATGGTGTATCAAGTAAAGCACTACAGCTACGAAATGAAAAGATGGACTCTCTGGAACTGTACAGCACTGGAATACCCACAAAAAGCATTAAAATTAGCTCAAGATTCCAAGTAAGACAAAGAACCCTGTCCTTTACTTTTCTTCTTTTTTTAGGAAACATTGTTTACACAATATAGTGTGCAGTGGTCCCTAACTCTTCCAGGAAACATGCTGTTACCTTGGAGAAATTTGGTGTCTTTTCTGTTGTGAGATGATAACTATTAGAGGTGTGCAAAATGGGCCATATTCAATTTGGATTCAGATTTGGTCCAAATCGGAGACAGTGATTCTATTCGCTGATTTGGATCACTGTCCCAATTCGATTAGGCCGAATCTAAATCTAAAGATTCGATGCTGATTCTTTGAATCAGCAATTTGGCCACAGACACAGCTTTAAATGTTTTTTCTACATACCTTGAGGTACCAGGCATGAGTCTTGAATGCTGCGATGATGGGGTAGATGAAGCATCCCACAGGAGCATGGGGTGGGGGGCCCTTGCGTGCTTGGCAGTGAACCCAGAAGTAGAGCAGAAGTACTTTTGGTCCACCTCTGGGTCTGCCGCTGAGCATGCTGGGGGGGTGGGGAGCCATACCTCCCTGGCTCAGCAATCAGCTCCCAGGGGACCCAGGTACCCCCCACCCCAGACCCAGGTGGCACCAGTCTCCAAGCTGGGGGGGAGGCATGGGGGCGCCCCACATGCTCCCTGGCAGACCCGGAAGGGGGCCGGAAGTGCTTCTGGTCCACTTCTGTGTCTGCTGCTGAGCATGCTGGGGAATTCCCCCGTGCTCCTATGGGACTCTCCATCTGCTCCAGCATCTCGGCATTCAGGAACCACCTGGTACCGTGAGGTATGTAGAAAAAACATTTAAAGCTGCATCTATGTCTGAATCATTGAATCTATATGAATCACTCTGAATCGATTCAAAGACTTTTGATTCAATTCAGACAGATTAAAGGGTTTCCTGATTCAATTCAGATTTGGAGATTTAGCCACCAAATCGGGCCGAATCTTTCCCAATTGAATCGGTGACCAAAGCTTCACACCACGCTGGTAACTATGGATGTGTGTGCTTGCTGTAGTGTTTGGTGCATGGCTATTCTGACATGTAGGAGCACCTGCTAGTGCAGTAGATCTTGATTCAAACCTTGGTCTACCACAACCACTTTGTCAGGTTTGGGAAAATTATTCAGTCTCTCTGGGCATTTCTACACATGTGCTTTAATGTGCAAAAGCCTATTTTACTGCACAGTAGAGCACCATGGCAAAAACCATGCTAATACATTAATGCACAGTAAAATTAGGCTACTGTGCATTCAGTGTCAAAAAAAATATCCGCTCTTGCTACTGTACATTAGGGGAGGCGAATGCACACTTAGTTAGTACTAGGGCTGTGCAAAGCTTTGGGTGGTGATTTTGATTCAGAGGAGATTTGGCCTAATTCAGTGGCCAAATCTCCGAATCCAAATTGAATCAGGGGACAAATTTTTAAAGGTCCGAATCAATTCAAAGCTCTCCGAATCTCTGGCAAAGAGTCAGACTGCTCTGATGATTTGGGCAGTCCTTGGTGCAGCCACTCCATGCTGGTAGGTACTAGGAGTGGGGGAGAAGGGGCTGGGGGAGGGGACCATGGGGG